ACGTATAATTATACTAATATTAATATTAACAATAATAATAATAATACTAATACAAATACTAATAGTAATACTAATACTAATACCAATATTAATGCTAATGCTAATGTTAATCATAATGTTATTGTTAATGCTAATGCTAATATTATTGTTTTTAGCAAGCGCTACCACTGTGATAAGTCTAATTGCCGCAAAAAGCCCCTATGTAAAAACAATTAGCATTTGCCTCCCTATGTTAACTAGTCAAAGGCACATGCCCCCTTATCAGCAAATTGTGTATTGCACGCGCAGTTCGTACGGTTTGTGTTTGGTTTTATGAATTGAAAAGTCTTAAATGCCCCTTAAAATACAATTTTTTTAATAAATAAAAATCCAATTGAACTTTAATATAAATAATCCAAATTTTTGGATCCAATTGCAAATTTTAAAAAAGTCTTCAAAATCCTATTCTACTTCTTCTCAAAGCCTGACCAAGCGCAACAGTGATGCCGCCCCCTTTCTTCCGTCACCGTCTCCATCTCCCCAGGCGGTGAGACCACTAGATGAGTCATCTCCGCCGGCGCCGCCGTCATCGCCGCCGTCCGGCAGATACGGTGTCGGCACCAAGCACGAAGCATGGTGCACCATTCATTTTTTTCTCCAATTACATTATGCCAATAGAAACTTCGGATCCGCCTTTGTCGGGGATTTCCAAAGGGTTTTTTTGCTGTCAAAACTCCATATTCAAACCGGTATGAATCCTAGAGATTGAAGAGTACATGTTTCTTCAACTGCCGTTCCTCTTTCTTTTTCTCCGTTCTTCTTTCTTTTTTTCCTCTTAGAATTGATGAAATGAAAATAAAGGGTAAATAGTTGAATTTTTGTAAGATTAATGGCTGGCATGGGGCAATTGTGGAGATAGCAGTATATATATATCGGTGATCATTGAAGAGATCAAATCAATGGCGGAGACTCTCGTTTTTTCAAGAAACACCGTGTAAGTTGCAGGTTGGTGTTGTGGTTTGCAACTTGGGGATTTCATCCGGGCTGAGGACTATGTTCTTGAAGTGAAATGAGCTGGTGGGCGTCTCTGATTTGCAGCGGCAATGGCGGAGGTTGTAGTGAGAGATGAAGAAGATGATGACGTGTTTCGGTGTGTTTTTTTAAGTATTTTATGTATTTCTAATGAAGGGTAATTTACTAAGTCAACGGGATTATTTTGGATAGGGAGCGGTGGGCCAAATAAAACCAATCATAGGTAGGTCAATGCAAATTATTTTAATATAGGGACTTTTCTGGTAATTAGACATTTTAGAGGGGTTTTGTGCAAACTGGTTAATATTAATACCAATACTAACATTTATTACAGTAATAGTAATACTCTTACTCATACTAATACTAATGTTAATACCAATAATAATACTAAGGGTTAGTGAGATATAACCCCTCATTAGGAAAAATATTAGGACTAACTATCTCACATTATTTTTAATGGATCAAACCCCCCCACAATTAGCAATTACTGAACTACCCTTATAATTACTAATAGCAATGACCCCCCCCCCCCCCCCCCCTCTATCCCCTATTTTCCCCATAACTGCATATCTTCAACCATTCGTCAATATAATTTCTTCCCAATTTCCGCTAGTCTGCTATATTTGTGCCAAGAAATTCGCAAAAAACTAAAAATCTGCAAGTATATCGGATCCTTTCGTTGTCGCAACAATGCCCTAGCTTGCTACATGTCTTAAAAAAAAAAAAAAAAAACCAAATAACATTTATGTGGGGATCGTTGAGAAATACAGGTCAACAACAATGGTGAAAGGTACAAGAGGAAGACAGGTGGTTTCCTATGAACGCACTATTAGTTGACTCATAAATATTTGTTTCCTATGAAATTTTTTTATCAGAGTCCACAACAAAGAAGATATCATTGTTGTCGAAAAACATAAAAATTGTAGTCATCTACACTTAGAGTCAACTATAAAATCGGATAGTTCACTATATTTTTCCCAAAGTCAACTATAAAAATTAGATAGTCAACTATAATTTTTACGATGTCAACAATAAAAAAATGGTAGTTAACTATATTGTTGCTAGAGTCAACTATAAAAATTAGATAGTCAACTATAACTGTTCCGATGTCAACTATATAAAAATTGGTAGTCAACTATAATTTTTCCATTAATTCACTATATTATTTTTCAATTTAAGATACTATGGTGTTATAAAATTGAATACTCATGATAAAAATCTTATCTCCGGTGAAAACATGAATTTCGTAGAGTAGAAAATAGATTGATTTCAACGACCAAAAAATGAGATGTACAAGAAAAGGTAAAGTAGTGAGAAGAATAGAGAAAAGTAAAGAGAAAATAAAAAGAAACAGACGAGAATAGAGGAAATGAGGGAAGAGAAAGAAGAGAGAGAGCAGAGAAAGAGATGAGAGAGGATATAGGGAGAAAAAGAATGAAAGAAAAAGATATCAGAAGAAAGGAAATTGGGGAAGAGAGAGAAGGGAGAGAAGAAGAATAATAAAAGAACAACACGTCAAAAGTGAGGAAAAAAGGAAGATAAAGAAATGAATGGGAATATAAAATGACAGATAAGAGAGAAATAAGGAGAATACAGAGAAAATAAGAGAAAAATATGGACATAAAATGGCATAACGGACAATAAGATAAGCTTAGAGGGGTCACACTATTCAGAAAATCGCAGTAAAATTTACCGTAAAAATCACTGTGAAATTAATGTAATCCACTATTGTATTGACATAATGCACAACAAACTTATCGGAATCAACTAAAAACAAACATAATCCACTACAAATGAACGTAATCCACGACTAATACAACTGAAATAATAACAAACAAAAAAAGAACGTAAATCCACTATTGGAAATGCAAATCCACTGTTATGTCCAGTGGCCCTGGGATCACCCAACCTAGCCACCCCGTCGCCTCACTTCGCCTGCTCAAGAACCTGAATTGATGAAAATTAACATAATTTACTGCGATGTTAACGTAATCCATTACATAATGAATACATGACAAAATTAATGTAATTGAAACTTTTACAAATGCAATCTGTTTCGAATGCAAGAATTTAAAATCCACGACAATCTCATTAGGCCTATTTTGGTTGGAGGGATGGGAATAGATGAGATTCGAAATCCAACTGCACATGACACTGTAGAGATAGATGGTAAAAGCTAGGTACTCATATTTGGTAAGAGGGATTGAGTTCATGGGATTAAATCTTTCGTTATCAATCTTCTCATAGGTATGTTGGATTGGTTGATTATTGTGATCATTTACAATATTACCCCCACACATTAGGATATTAATAATGCTTTTGCGTATCATTTGTTCTGCATGATTTCAAATTTTCATTTGAATTTTCGTTTTCTCTTTCGTCTTCTGTATACATAATTATGCAAGCTAATAAATATCATTTTTTCTTTTGGTGTGATGCCAAAGTTTGTGGAGCAGATGATGATTCCCGACTTGTGGGAAATGATTAATGCATTGCAATCTATGGTTAGAAAGCATGAAGCAAAAAATAGATGGTGAAAATTGTTGATGTTTTAAGATCAATGTTTGTTGTCCTCAAAGTTAGTATTTACCAAGTCTGAATAAATAGTAAAAAAAGGATTTGATTGGTAGCAATCAAGTACTTAAATAATTTCTGAAAATGACCGAAAATAAATTAGAGTGCTCGGTGAATCTTCACACCATCAATTTTGTCGAAATCAATGAAATTCTCACAAAACCTGCAAGGCTGTAACACCATTATTACAAGTCTATCGAACATTTATCAATAAAAAAATATTCATACAATCATATCACGGTGGAACATCAAAGTGATACAAAATAACAATTCTCATGAATACAATTGAACCATTCATAAAACAAAGACAACTAACTACCTATCTCGTACTATTCGATCCTAAGAAAAATAAATAACTACAACAATATCTTAAAAGAAAAACTAGTGTGGAGTCTAACTATTTCCTCTATTTCTTGTAGTTATCTTTACTATCTGTCACCTGTTCGCAAAGAAAAAAATAAAATAAATTACTTATGTTAGTAAAAAATAACAACGATATAATACAATAAATTTGTAGTCCCGTTGCTTACGAAACTCTAAAGCATAACAACTTTGTCTGATGGTCATGCTATCGATAACAAAATTACTGAATATATATGCTCCTTTAAGCTTCCATTTTCTATATATTCAAATACTAGGAACCTGAAAAGATAAAATAGTACTCCTAAAAGAATCTAAATCTATTTAAATTAGCATTTATTCAGGTACACCTTTAAAATATAGAAGTGATTCCATCATAAAATATTTATCAAACATGATGCAGATAGACAAAAAGAGGGATTCGAAGACAAAGATTGGAATACTCTAGAGATTAAAATACAAATATGGAAGAAATCATGAAAAGCAACTTCTTGATTACCATTTCCCAAAATTTGGGGGAGCCTGCAAAATAAAGTCAGTCCATCGTAAACTTCTTTCCATGATAGTCTTATCAAACCAAAATTCAGCTCAATATTAACTATTGAAACAAAGAAAAACTAATTCAATTCGCAAAAGGACAATAAAATTATAAAGTGCAAGATTTCATAACAAGCGTAACTCGCCGATGAAGTAAAAATGAGATATTAGTTACAGAGATATAAAGCTTCATATTAACAAGTTCAATTTATTGCATTGTAACCTGACCAATGTGGATTCTCGTAAAGCTTGCATTTCTCAGAAATAGTGATAGTTTTATGTTATTAATCCAAACAAGACAAAGATCTCAAGTCCACTATAAATTGTTTGTTGCGACCATAAATTCCACAAAGATCTTTTTCGATAACACGCTTAACAAAAAGCAAATATCACCACCTTTCGAGCACAATCGAAATCAACTCAAATTTCACACAAATAGCCATCTACACATTTAAAGAATGAAAATTTTTCATTATAATTTATGTTTAAACGAATTCAAAAACCTATTTATATACAAAAAGCGCATGCCTGCAAGGAATTCAAAGACAACTCTATCACTTTTCTTTTGGATCTAATTAAAAAAACTTAAAGTATCAATTCAAGGAAGTTTCTTGTTATTCTCAAAAGACATAAACCACCATCTTCTCTACATATGAAAACCTCAAACATAAACTAAATAAAGCAAGAGAATTAGAAAGTAAACAACATTCAAGACAAAATGTAAATTAGTTCTCTTGAGTTTTCTCCTGTTTGTCTCCCCATACCTATACACTTGAAGCATTCTTGAACATACTTATCTTTCAATTACTCTTTTTACTAAAAACATTGAAGGGGAGGATCTCTGTCATAAATTGGCATATAAATGGCAGAAACATGCACAAAATTGATGGGTGAACAATTAATAATATGGACGCACATCATAACATGTATTAACTAACCTGATAATGCAAACATATTTTAGGAAGAAGGCGTTCAAGCTTGTTGTCTAAACCGAGTCGTAAGCTATCCGATTGAGCAAGCCCCGTCCACCAGTCGACAATTCGTATGCAACAACTCCTTTCAACATTTATAGAACACAAAAAAATTGGAACGGAGTTAGATTTTTTCCCAAAAAAAAAGCAAAATAAAAAAATTATGTAATCTATAAAATCGAAGGGACGCAAACCTTGTGCAACTCCGATGAAGAGCTTCAAGAAATATATAACGGACTTCTTCAATCAGTAGGGGAAAAAACGGGAAACAAATATAATTTTTTTCTTACGTTAATCGAAGGAGAACAGAAGAAACCGAAATGTGTAGAGAGATGAACGGCCAAGGCTGCTAGGGAAGATGAGGTTTGGGGGAAAAATTGTAATATATACCCGGTACAAGTGTAATAACGGAAGAATATTGAGGGTTTAAAGGTCAAAAATCATGTGGGTATGTAGGGGAACGGATGGGATTGTGGGATCTCACCTCCCACGGTCGGCTCTACGATCCATCAATTAGCGGATCGTAACCTGGGCCCAAGGTCCATCCCGGGTCCGTTTAAATGAACCAAAGTTGAGATCCGGGTAGATTAGAAGATCCATCCGGCCCAATCCATTCAACCAAAATAGGACTTAAAATCCACAACAAAAATATCGAAATTCACTAAAATAATTAACGTAATCTACTATCAAATTAACCTAATCCCCCACCAATAATTGCTTTTTGAAAGAGAAAAACCATTCAACTTATATCAAAATCCACTAAAACCTTACCGCAGTTCACTAGAAATTGACGCAATTCACTACAAAATTAATGTAATCCACTATAAACACCATTGAAATAATTGAACCACTCAACTCTCAAGTGTCACCAAAGCAATCTACAAAGACTACAAAAATTAAAGTTATTAACTATTGAAAACTCAAAAAAATTAAAGTAATTCTCTACAAAATTAACCTTATCCATTATAAAAATAACTACAAAAACATCGAAAATATTTATGAAAAATTATCACCACCAAAACAACTGCTGACAAAGATTGAATTCTTTAGCACGTAGTCTGACGAAGAGAAGAAGTTAAATTGTGGGCTACACCGTAAGGCCTATTTTGGTTGGAGGGATGGGAATAGATGGGATTATCAAATTTTATTCCATTTCTTTAAAAAAAAAATTTTGCATCAATATTAAAACTAAATAAAATTTTTGAAATTTCCAATTTTTAATAAAAATAAATCAATGTATTCAGAAAAATCAAAATTATACATTTATAATATAATTTTTTTTTATACATTTATATAATTTAGCTTGGTTGTACTATATGTCAATGAATATAAGAGTATCTCCGACCGGTCACTATATCACCTGTCTGTTGAATTTGTAAGAGCATCTCCGACCAGTCGCTAGATCGCCCTTTTTCATCTAATTTAGGTGTTTTTAGCTTCTCATCCAAAATTCATATATCACAATTACACCTATAATTATAGACATTTGGTTTTAGCCTCCCACCGTGGTCAACCCCCATATCACCAAATACTCAAATCCTATTTTTCCACCAAATTTTTTGGTAAAGAAATTTTCATCTGCCACCAATCAACCATTTTCCTATTTTTCCACCAAATCCTATTTTTCATACTACATGTAGAGGTGAAAATAGGATTTTGTGTAATTAACACCATTTTATTAAGTACCATATAAAATGACGATTTTAACTAATTGCACATGATTTCCAACTTATTAGCATATTTATCGTAAATACATTGGTATTAATTATTAAATTAGTTTGTAAAATATAAATACATTTGTTATTATTAATGAAAACATTAATTCTAATAATATAAATATGTAATGGTATTTTTCCTAAATCGTCAACTTTAATACAAGCCATTAGTGTACCCAAATTTGCCGAAGAAAAATATTATGTAGAAATACATGAATCGTATCGCAAAGATGTGGAACGGATATTTGGAGTTCTTCAAGCTCGATTTGCAATTATTAGAGGAGCGGCTCGACTCTGGAAGAAAGAAGACTTGCATGAAGTCATGTTTGCATGCATTATTATCAAGGTTGTAAAAAGCGGTAATCGGGTCCGAGTCGGTCAGGCACCGACTTACGATTAAACGGTGCGGCGGTGATTAATCGGTGATAAATCGGAAATAAATCGATTTTTAAAACTTAATATAATATATTTCTAAATATTATTTAGAAATACTCCAAACATATATAAAAAGATATTTAAACATAGTTATATCTCCATCATGTATATATCATAAATTCTAATAACATAATAAAAGTTTAATAATCATAATATCATAATACATAAATATCCTTATAAAATATAAATAAAAAAAAATCGAATTTACATTTGTTCTTGAACATTCCTGGCATACATTATTAGTTCTTTAACAATAAAAATTAACATAAAAAAAATAAGGCGTAAACTCATATTTTCTTTTATTAAAATCCAACTTTTATTATGAATTAAAAAAAGAAAAAAAAACCGATTTTTAACTGATTTTTGCCACCGAGTTTGACCCGCCTTAAAGTTTTGACCGTCTCAGACTGCCTCAGACCGCCTAAAACCGCCTCACAGGCAAAAAACCGATTTTTCAAACATTTACACTAAAATCGTAAAGGTTTTGGACCGCCTCCGCCTCAAAGACCGATTTATCGGCCGCCTCGGCCGATTTTTAGAACACTGATTATTATGCACAATATGATAGTTGAGGAAGAACAAAGTGGATATAGAAAAGCTTATATTTTTTATGATGCTCAATCTCTCACAAACTTTGACAATGAAAGTTCGTCCTCTATCCCGCCTATTTAGCTTTTGAGAGATTTTAATAATGCGGCATATGTTAGTTTTCTTGATCGACATCGAGAACATCGAAATCTAATAAATCAAGGAAAATACAATGAATTAAGAAGGACATTGGTAGCACACTTGTGGGATAAACGTGCTCAAATGAATGATGTTGAAGATTATGATGTTGATGATGATGATAATAATGGCGAATGAGACTTTTTTTTATGATTTCAAATTAATTTATGTTGTAATATTTTATTTATGCAATAATTTATGAGATTATTGTTTATGTATGATTTTATTATATTTAAAATAATTTGAGCTCATGTTATTTCATGTTTAGATAGTTTTTTTAATATTGATAACATAATTTTAATATTATATAGTTAAGAAAATTTATTACTTATAATTGGATCTATAATTAATATTTAGGAAATAAAATTACGATTAACATTAGATTTACAGTTTCGGGGCATATATGGTGAAATGTCATCGGAGACCAAACCAAATCCCATTTCCAATAAGTGGTGAAATGGTAAAATATTATTATTTTAATATTTGGTCTAAATTTTGGTGAAGTACATTGGAAACCAAAAACACCATTTTTCCACAAAAAATGGTGAAAGAGTAAACTGGTGTGCTATCGGTGGGATGTGAACCCATTTTTTTACCACCATAAATGGGATTGGTGAAAAAAGTGGTTCCCGGTCGGAGATCATCTCCAACAGTTTGTTGAATGTGTAAGAGCATCTCCGATCGGTCACTATATCACCATTTTTTCATCTAATTGAGTTGTTTCTAGCCTCCCGCCCAAAATTACTATATCACCATTTCACCTAAAATAATGGAGATTTGACTTTAGCCTCCTATCGTGGTCAACACCCATATCACCATATATCTAAATTCTATTTTTCCGCCAAATTGTTTAGTGAAGGAATTTTCATCTCCCACCAATCCACCATTTTACTATTTTTTCCACAAAATCCTATTTTTCTTACCAAATATAGAGGTGAAAATAGGATTTGGTGTACTATAGATGATGATTTTAACTAATTGCACTGACTTATTAGCATATTTATTATTAATATATTAGTGTTAATAACTAAATTAGTTTCTAAAATATAAATACATATTTGTCATTACATCAAAAAATCGAAGCCCAACCCTTCTTCAAGCTTGATTTCGAATTTTCGATTTTTTTTTTTGCTATTTGCAGTTTTGGGGGGTTTTTTGATATTTTTTAAAGTTTTGGGGGGGTTTTGTTATAAACCGCGAATAGCAATTTTGTGACCGCAAATAGCATTTCCGTATTATTTTGGTTTCACTTTGCCCCATAAGCCATTTTTTTATGGGCATTGTGCAACAAAAATAACATTTTAAAGGGGCAATGTGCAAAGAATAATGTTTTTAAGGGGTAGCTGCAACAAAAATAACATATAAAGGGGCAATCTGCAACAAAAATACTCAAATATCGATGAATAATCCATCGAAATTTTGCTATCGGGGCAAAATGCAACAAGAATAACATTTTCAAGGGGGACATTCACTTTAAAAAAAAATTAGGGGGTAAAGTGACAAAATAGAATTTTTTATGGGGTGGTGTGGAATTTGCCCAAAAATCTAATTAGTAATACTAATAAAAGTTACCATTTCTGGCCTCCAGCAATAAAATATGCAGAATTCCATGTTTCTTCTAATTTGGAGAAATCTGAAATCTTCAAATCATGCTTGTAACGAGTATCGACATTATCCAAAGATAAGCATTCAACGGCCGCTTGTCTTTCGATAACGAAAACCTCAGCACCAAACACACACGTATCATTAACTAGGTATCCGTTTGAAGGATCAGACAGAATTTCCTTCGAAATAAATTTTGAAAGGCCCCATTCAAATTTCATTGTTCGGAAACGTCTTGTTACTCCTGCCAAATAATATTATAAATAAAAACAAGTAGTCCTTGACAATTTAAAGAAACTACTCTATAGGACTAAAACAAACTAATTAACACGAACAATAAAAAAAGAAGAAACAAAAAGAAAGATAAAGATAAGGGGAAATTACAATTTTCAACCCTCTTGTTTGCACCGATTTCACATTTGGTCCATCATGTTCATAAAAAACACATTTGGTCCATCAAGTTTCAATAGCTAAACACTTTTAGTGGAACACACTTGATTCCGTTAGTACTAACGGAAAATTGACGGAAATGACTAAAAGTGTTTATTTTTTTAAATATGAGGAATCAAATGTGTATTTTTGTGCACGAGGGACCAAAATACAAAATCGGTGCAAACTGTACTTTTCCCATAAAAAATAATATATACCTGGCGAATAAAGGTAATGGCCAAAAATCTGATTAAAGAGAAAGATGTTGAAGACAACATTGACTTCCCAATTTGTAGGCAGAGAGCTTGTGTCCGTCATAGCCAAGTTTACAGATATATAATCACTATCCTTTCCATTAAAATTTAATATTAACTTCCTGTACAAATTAACAAATTCAAACATCCTCCATTACTTCTTCCTTTATTTGGCTTTAGAGAGAGAGAGAGAGTATACCACTTGTATTCTCCAGCCACAAATTCACTTGTTTCATATTTGTTAATTTTATACTTGTCGAACGAGGAGAAGGATTCTATCTTGATCAGAAAATGAGCAGATGGTACCTCTCTTGTCTCCATGGCTGTGATTTCTGACACCAAAAGTAGATCAAACAAATTGCATGTCATTCCCTATAAATTTTTAATTTTCGCACTTTACCCCTTCACAATTCAAGAAACTAGATCAAACAAATTGCATGTTACACTTGATGCACATTGCCCCAATAGCAAAATTAAAATGGATTATTAATCGGAATTGAGTGTTTTTTTCTTTTTCATGCTGGCCCTTAAAAATATTATTTTTTCACACATTACCCCTTTAAAATGATATTTTTTTTGCACCATATATGCCCACCGGAAATTAGCTTTGGGATAAAGTGCAACCAAAACAATATTTCGAGGGGTTATCTCTTTTGTCAAATTTTAGGGGGGAAAGTGCCAAAATGAAATATATTATAGGGGTGAAGTGTATTTTGTCCATATATATATATATATATAAATAAGAGAGAGACACACACAAAGACAAAAATACACTTATCGGTAAAAATATATGTTGTACCATGTAATTTAAGAATTATTTTTCTGCATTATTAATTTATCTAGTATACGGGGCTTCTTAATATTTTCGAAAGTGTATTATCTTATAAATTTAGCGAATTGTTAATTTAGCACATTTTCCCCGAGTCAGGAATGGAAAAATTTATTATTTTAGCGAGCTTATTAATTTATTAAGTACTAATTTATCGAGGTTCTTCTGTATATCAAATTTTTGGTTAATGTGAAAAACATGGGTATCTTAATGTGGAATTCCTGATGTTTATTTCAGATTTATGTGAAAGATTCATTTGTTGGTCGAAGAAAAGAGATATATGTGCAGTGATCAGCTATGTCAATCGATTCCCATCTTCGTAGAATTTGGGGTAAGGTTTTGGGAATTAGAAGATGGAAAATTGGGGGTTTAGTAGAAGAGAAATTAATGATTTGTTATATGGAGATAAGAGAGAGATAGAGGAGAGGTAATGAGGTGTCGTCTATCTCATCTTCCAGCTCGATTTTGACTGCCAAATGGAAGTCACGTGCGGTGCACGTAACAATTCTGTCTAACTTAATTGGAAAAGTTAACGGCCAGACCATAATTGTCCAAAAGTGATAAGTTTGAGGACTAAATTCGGAGCGGCAAAACTTTGAGGATCAAAATCGTTTTAGGTGACAAGTATAGGGACAAAAACTGTAATTATTCCAAACATAGCATGTTGTGAATATTTTCTAGGAGGAGTCCAAATTTTGCATGATATTTGAAGCAGGGGCAAGAATTTTTGAGCGATTTAGGGATGAAGCATTGAAACATAAATTCACAGTCTCATTACGTGAAGAATACAATATGCAAGTTTTGACTTCATAATAGCCTCTTTTTGGGAGCTTATAAAGCAAAATCCTCTGGTGAATTAATAATATTATACATTTTTTTGTAGTAATTGTAAATTTAGATATTTATTAAAAAAAATATAATTTTATTTTACTTCAATAAACGTACAATTGCAACTAAAAAAATTATAAAACATTTAACTAACACGTGCAACGCAAGTGCATCTTCCTAGTATGCATAAAATAGAGAAATAAGATCGCGTATTGTTGGCAGAGATACTAGGATTTATGCTTGTTCTGCAGTACAATTGTTTATATATTTTTCAATTTCGCAAATATGAATTCGATTAGGGATATAACTTACCGATCTTGCTATTGTCTAAGGACTATTTGGTAATTTCAATTTGCAACTGGATCGTAAATTTGCTTGGATTCTCCAATCTTACCTCCTTATGCGGGATCCACAATTTATTAAACACCGGATCTGAACCCAGGTTGGGGATCCATCTCGGATCAAGATATTATGTACCAAATACCAGCTCCGCCCCGATGATACGATCAATCTTCTCAATTCCAAGAAAGCAAAATAACACTTAAAGGATTCTAGAAGATCTTGTAGAATCCTCATTGTATATATTTGGTAGGAAATCGTAGGAGATGATCTTAGCCGTTAGATCAAGATGATCACCAATGATTCTTGAAAAGGTAGAGTTATATAAATAGGGGTAACACTATTCATTTTAATCACCCAAGAATCCAAACAATAAAGTATTCTATAGCAATCTCCAACACGATGGGCATTGATTAGTGATGGGCATTGATTAGTGATTAAGTGCCGCACACTATAGTAAACAAATAATTAGCCCAAAAAACAATGACATAATTATCATCCCTAGTATGAACAAAATATTCAAAATAAAAAATAAAATCGAACTAGATTATGGTGTGCGAGCCCAACATCTGGTGGCACAAGATCCTTTAGCGGTGGCCATACAATGTGACAAACGCTTGCCTCACAAGTGTCGTGAAAAAATATTGGCTATGTTTGTAACCGTTTTCAAATTCTTTCCACACTTTCCCCAAAATGAAAATTATCTTTCTACACTATTTTCAAAAACTTTCCCTAAAACAAATTCAAATATTTCTCTCTCTAACAAACATGATTTGACCGCTACAGTGAAAATTGTCTTCACTAAAATACAAAATCAAATCACTTTATCTTTTAAATTCTTCTTCCAAAATACCTTTTTCCAGCACCTTTCAGACATGATTTGACTTGCTACAGTACAAATTGTTTCCTCCCAAAACACAAACAAACTTTATTTAATTTTCAAATTCTTCTCCCAAAACATCTTTCCCCAAAATAAAATGGAAATGGAAGCCCAAAAAATAATGGCGAGAAATTCAAGACAACGAGAAAACATAGTCCACGACGCCAGCCATAATTTTATTTTTTATTTTTTTAATAATTATTTAAACTGGGAGGGTTTTTTTTTTTTAATTTTCTAACTTAGATCAAACGGTGTTAAGGTCAAAGGTGTGAAAACTAACGGCGAGAGCCACAGTGAGACAATTTTTCAAGTACGGGGGGCAAATTGATGAAATTGAGAGGAGAAGGGGTTAAAGTGATATCGAGCCAAAGTACAAGGGGGCAAATCGATGCAATTGAGAGTAAAAGCAGGTAAAGTGATATCGAGCCAGATTACAAGAGGGCAACTCGATGCAATATAGAGTAAAATGGGTAAAGTGATAAATATTCTGAAGCTGAGAGTTTAGGAAGCTGACAAATGGTTGGAATAAAATAATTAAATATAGAAGTTTTGGAAGCTCAACTCAATCAATACTCTCTACTCTTCAATTTTTATTTTCGGCTGATTATATCGCTTGCAAAAGTAATGCATGGCTGAACCTCTTATTTATACAAATGATTAGGATAATAACTCGCTACAATTTCCAAAACAAGACTCTTGACTTTACTCCATAAAACTCACATACATGAATCTCCACTTTTGATTACTTAGAAACTTTAAATACATTCATTGTCGTTTTGACTCAATTAATTAAAGTTTAATTAATTCTTAGGGTAAATAACACTTAACCCCATGTGGTTACAAACTTTTGCAGATAACCCTCTTGTGCTCGTAATATCAGTACATAACCCCTTTGTGGTTTATGGGGTAGCTTCCGTTAGTTTTTTTCGACAAGCTTAATTGCCTGTGTCAAACGTTAAAGTATTTTTTTTTGCAAATGACTCCCTTGTACTTTCATTTTCCTTTTCATTTTTGTAGATGATCCCATTGAAGTTTGACACATACGGTTATGTCTGACGGAAAAATTAACGGAAGCTACCCCATAACCCGCAAGGAAACTATGTGCTCATATTAAGAGCACAAGAGAGTCATCTGCAAACACGCTTGTAACCACAGGGAGGTTAAACGCTATTTACCCTAATTCTTGTACACCAAGAGCACAAGAGAGTCATCGCTTTAAATTGTTATTTTTGTTGCACGATGCCCACCGAAAATTAGCTCTGGGGTAAAGTGCAACCAAAATAATATTTCGAAGGGATTATCTTTTTTCTAAAACTTTAGGGGGAAAAGTGTATTTTGTGTTGGGGATCGTGCATGTATACGCAGCGGAATTTAAAAATTTTATATCGAACTAGTTTCGATTACATGCAAAACTAATCATATAGTCAACGTACCTTAACGCTTCCGCCATACATATGGTAATTATCGATTTAATTGAAAAACACGTAAAACCGAAAATCACGAAACATGCTTGTTCATCATTCAACGAAATCGAAACACGTAATCACATATTACTCACAATCATAAATTATAATTCATACAAACATGCTCGAATTAATTTACGAAAGTTTCGATTCATTTACCTCTTGTAGCGTGAGATTTCGACGAATCGAAACCTAGAACGAATCACGTACAAGCTGCAAATTACCAATCCTCGGGGCTGCAATTCACGGCTGGAATGAGCTGATCCAGCAAGCGACGAACGGCGGTGAATGGCAGCAGCAGCGGCGGCGCGTGGCAGCAGCAGCGGCGGCGCGTGAGCGGCGTAGCGGCGCGTGCGGCGGTGCAGCGGCGGTGCGTGGGTTCGTCGGGGCAGCAGCTCCTCTCCAATTAGGTTTCACCTCGTATTTTCGACCCACTCGAACTACAGCACTAGATGTAAACGAGTTAGATAACAACACGAATAAAACGAAGGAAAAAGAGGAGAAAACCGGCGGTGTTTCCGGCGGTGGTCGGCGGTGGCGCGTGCGGGGCAGCAACGGCCGAAGGGGGCTGAGCGGCTAGGGTTTTGGTGCTGAAAATCTGACCTCAAACTCTTGTTTGAGGTCTATTTATACTTAGGGTTTTCAACCCTAGTGGGCTTAAGTCATTGGGCTTGACCCACTGATGCATTAAGCCCATTCCCTCGTCGGCCTCGTTTCTAATAAACGATCGTCCACAAAATTATAACAAAATTATATTTGTGACGAGCTCAAATTCCTCGTCGATACGAGTGCCTCTTCGAAATTTCCAATTTCCAAAATTGGAAACTTCCTCTTCAGTGGACTTGCTAAATCGGGAAACTTCCCAATTTAGAAAGTTCACTAAATTCCGCATGTCTCTCTTTCTCTACGTTTATTCCAATTCGCAATTCACAATTACGAATCTTGGATTCAATCATATCGACATCCAATCGTTCAAAAGATT